AGGCCCCTAAATGATCTCCCTCAGGACCCACGAACCCACGGCTGGATTTAGCCAATTTACCAGCAGTCTGAGCACCATGACACGCGCTCGCTCCTGTCTTAGACTCCAGCCCTGCCTCCCTAAAGAGGCCATGATGAAATATCTCTCACAAATGTGAACTGTTTTAACTTTTGGAGGAGATGTTGTAACTTTACCATATCAAGAGTTGGTCATCTTTGCATCACAAAGTTAGACGAGGCACCCGTCGTGCACCGAATGCATGCATTTAACCCCCAAAATTGTGTTTAAAAAAAGGTGCTTATGAATACATTCACGAATGATCACTATATTAATTTTGAAGCCACAGTCTTTGTCCCAGTTAAGACGATCATCAAAGCAGGTGTTCGCCTGCGTGTGCTTATGCATTTAGTTCAAACATCAATAGGTGTGTGTTATTTTGAACGATCAAAGGACTGAGGGGGTAGTTTGGGTTTTTACTCACAGTGTCATTTATGTTTTGAGATATGACACATTGTGATTGATGTTGAACTCAGAACTAGTAATGCATGAACAAGTAAAGGTGAAAATAGGAAATATCTGCAAACAAGGTTATTATTGATCATGCTTAAATCACACTGCATGCGTTCATTTCTACACACCGGTTTTACTGAGCACATAAATGACCATTTTTATCATCACTTTAAGTAAGCTTTCAGACCAATTTAAACTGCTCAATTCACAAATAGGTTTAACCGATTCGTTAAAACGGACGATTTTGTGAATCAAGCAGCACTGAAACGTGCTTATTATTGCATGTTCGTTTTCGCAAGCTGACAACAAGGACAACACCGCAATATCAAAGAAACACATCTAGCTTTTTTTTTTTTTGCAATGCTCCTCCTGAATAGCGGTGCAGGAAACACTGGTCCACATGCATGCATCTTTTCAAATCACAAACGCTTCTCTGAGCTGAAATGAGTGTGTGGTATTTTATCAGGCTGAAGGAACTGTGTGAGGGTATTTTACGAGACGTTCTTCACTTCTTTCCACAAACTGCGTAGATGAAGACACACACCAGAACAAACGCTGAACATCGTTTTCAGATCCTCAGATGATCTCTGAAGAACATCCATTAACCTCGAGCAGGGCATTTGATTTGGCATTGCAACAAAATGCAGCTTATAAGCATCTGAAAAATTAATAAATTTTATTTATAATCATAATTCTATTATTTTAAATTGTTCAGAGTTAGAATAGTTAAAATCCTCAGAAAATTTACTGAACAAATGTTTGAAATATTTTAAATGCATTTAACCAAATAATATAACAATATAAATGCAAACACGTTCATACAACAAAACGCTAAATTTAATTTATATTTAATGAATGAGAAAATAAATAAGCTCTCAAACGACATTTAATACGTTTTAGGTTACACTATTCTGCACTTCTAATATCTAATATTAACAGTCAAACAAATATAATTTACTGAAACGATAATGAGCGCCTGACAGCTGAAATTTGTTTGTCGGCAGCATGTGATCATCACGATAAAATATTACGCTGTGGAAAATGACGTTGTCTTTCCTTATCGTTAGAAACATCACAAGCAAACCGCACAGAATAATTCTACTACACTCTAATTGAGTACATATTATCAAATGATTTTAAAACAAAAGTGCAAAAAAGTACGTTCTGTCTGTCTGGAGGAGGACAAACTGAGCTGCGGTCCAGTCGCAGATATCAATCTAAAGCATGCTCTTTCCTAGCAGTGCCACATCAACAGTTTCGACAGGATTTCAGATAGCATCTATCGCTGAGGTGTGTGTGGGTCAGTCAACTCGGTGGGAACCAACAAGGACACCGGCTTAATAAACATACTCAATATGCAAAGGTAAAAAAATGCAAACGGTTGCATGTAAGGGTACAGTCAGTATTGAAAACAACAGAGAAGTCGCAGACCAAAATTAGCAAGAAGTTAGACAAATGATACAAAAGGTTATTGATGTACGAGTATATATAGTTTTTGTGTAGTATTAGTAATAAGCGCAACTAGTCTCTGGTATGTCAGAATGCGTCGGCACACACGAAGGAGTAAATTGTCAAGGTTTGAAGGAGTTATTCAGTGTTAAGCGTGTGTGGAGGGGCCAGTCGGCCCTCAAACACACACACTATAATTATGGGAGCGAGGGAGGAGGTGTGGAGAGCCGGACTGAGAAAAGAGGAGACGAGAAACGCATGTGCTCCCAGGGTGGGTGGGAGACCTCACTGTGTCTCTCTTCCTTCTTTTTTCACTCCCTCCCTACTGTTGTTTTTAGCTCTGAACGCCTATTTAACTCGGCTGGATTTTCCAGGGTGGGGCAGAGTTTTTTAGTTTTTTTTTTTTAGTTTTGCCCAACCTGTCAGGGAACTTCTGGGGACATGAGATTTCATCCTTCCCTCTTCCTCTGTGTTTCTCTTCTTTTTTTTCTGCAATTAAACCTTTTAAAGTGTTTGTGTTACATGTGTGGTTAAAGGGATAGTTCACCCAAAAATGAACATTTTGTCATCATTTACTCACCCTCAAGCTGTTCCAAACCTGTATGGGTTTCTTTCTTCTGTTGAACATGAAAGAGGATATTTTAAAGAATGTAGGTATTGTAATCAAACAGTTGACGGCACCCATTGACTTCAATAGTAGGGAAAAAAACACTATGGACGTCAATGGGTGCCGTCAACTTTCATCAAAATATCTTCTTTTGTGTTCAACAGAAAAGAGAAACTAATTCAGGTTTGGAACAACATGAGGGTGAGTAATGACAAAATTGTCACTTTTGGGTGAACTATCCCTTAAAAATCATCAAAAGAATCAAATGTTATTTATACACAATTAGCAAAGAACAAACCAATCAATTATAAAAAAATCCAAGGCATTATTAAATGCATTATTGCATGTTTCGTGTTGGTTCATACAGGCCAAAGAAATTATTTTTGTGGCATCTATATTTACCTGAAGGGTCACATTGTTTAAAACACAAGGCTCGCAATTTAAAAGATTACATTCCGTGTTACTTGACTATATGTTCAAACGGTAATTATAGCATCTGTCTCCTAGCAACAGCAGAAGGGACATTAAAATCCTGATTGGTAAGTGCTGAGCTCAATTTTATAGAGAATAAAGACAGGCAATGTACAAGAGAGAAAAAAAATCCAGAAAACACCAGTAGCTCATTTACTTTGGCTCAGAACCCGTTTTTGGACCATTGAACGCCAGTTGACAGCTTTCGGTGGTGGCGGGACGTATGAAAGCATCCATCCACATGCCTGCAGTGACCACGGGGACGAGACACACTGAGATTAAACTCTATTCATAGCCATGAATGAAGGACAATGTTGCCAAAATGCCTCTTAAAAAGTCACTGAAAACATTTCAGGGAATCCGCAGGTACAATTCGGGCTCCATTCATGTAGGACTGTAGTTTAGGAGCATGTGAACAGAGTATGCAAAAATATAGCTTTGCAAATTCTTTATTATTGTTGGACACTGTACAGTAGAAGTGTACTTCTGAACTAGACATGACTAAAATATAATAATAAAAAAAAAAAAAAAAAACGATTCAACATTGCATGCATGCCTGTTAATTAATCAAAAGTAATTGCACCATTATTAGAGCTCTCATGCGATGCAAGTAAAACTGGAGGTGGTGGGTTACGTTTACTCATGCCCTGACACTTTTTTTCCCGTGGAAAGCAGAAACTAGAGCCTGACCCCTTTTGCCTTCCTGTGTCGTCTTGTCTTCTTTTCTTTCCGAACGTGATAAAGATAAGTGTCAGCTTTTCTCACAATGCAAACGATCTGATTTATTTCGCTATCTGTCAAGGCCTACACAACAAAATAGCCACTGCTTTCAATATATGTCATGAAAAGCAGAAGCCAGTGGAGCTGCTGTTTGATCGCAATCAGAGAGAAACAGAGATTTGATCCTTGCACGCTCTATGGGAGCTAATTAATTATCTGATGATGTGACGCATCCTCTTTAACCGCAAAGTGCACGCACACACAAGTTACACACTTTTACAAAAACAAGCAGTTTTTGCTCAAATCTCATTGTATATCAATAATATTTTAAAGTAGGTCTGGGCGATATGGCCAAATATATTCTCACAATATTTTTTCCCCATATCATTTGATATCAATATTAATCATTTTATACTATTAACATGGAAGGAAATGCATTCCACATGTTTGACATTTTACAAGTAAACTTAGAGTAAACTACCTTTTAATTTAGAATGAAATCTGTTGAAAATCTGTTCAATTCTGTTTTATGATTTAATAAAAATGTAGCATAAAAAATGGTGTCTGATGAAATGAATTTAATCAATCTTTTCAAATGTAAACAATTGAACTTGTATACTGTATGAATTAAAACATGGATGAACAGATATCTTGGTTATCCCTAAATCATAATACTAATAACAATAATAATACTTCAACAGATTTTTTCAAAGTTGCAAATAAAATTTGGAGTACGTTTTACAAGAAAATACTACTTCCGTCTTTCTACTTTAAACTTTCACGTTAAATTCAAAGTGTCACTTGCGTTTCTTCGTAATTATTTGGGAAATTTACTAGCAATTTCAGAGTGAAATTCCTACACCAGTTTTTAGTGTACATTCAGTGTACAGTGAAATATAATATATGAACTACAGTAGTCAACATTTGAAGTGGATCAAAAAAGTTCAAAGTCGTCCTAAGACAAGAACGGGTATTGTTCAAAATTCATGTCTAACTTTGATGAAAGGTTTTGATCCACTTCAAATGTTGACTACTGTATTATTGTGGTGGTTTGTATTGAAGATCTACATGCAGAAATTCTAGCATGTAATTGTATCGAAATTTACTCAAACCTTAATTATTGATATGATTTATTTGTTTTTATGATAAATATATTTGTTTATTCAGAGCCCAGCCCTGTTTTAATGGATGACAGGATAACAAACTGCAGCTCTGACCAATTTCACTTTTTCCCTGTACACAGATTCCCCGGAGATGGCGCGCACAGACGAGGACCTGATCGGAATCCCCTTCCCGAACCACAGCAATGATATCCTGTGCAGTCTCAACGAGCAGCGGCGGGACGGGCTTCTGTGCGACGTCATCCTAGTCGTCAGGGATCAGGAGTACCGGACCCATCGATCAGTCCTGGCCGCCTGCAGCCAGTACTTCAAAAAACTCTTCACGGTGGCCACCGGCTCCAGTCGGGACGCCAACTCGCACGCCATCTACGAACTGGACTTCGTGGCGCCGGAATCGCTGACGGCCATTCTGGAGTTCGCGTACACGTCGACGCTGACGGTCACCGCATCCAACGTCAAGGAGATCCTGAGTGCCGCGAGGCTCCTGGAAATTCCCTGCATCATAAACGTGTGTTTGGAAATCATGGACACGGGTGGAGGGGGAGAAGGACCTGCAGAAGGAGAGGAGTTTGAAGGGGATGACGAGGAAGACGAGGACGAAGAGGAGGAAATGGAGGAGGAGGTTGACTCGAAAGATGGAGAATTTGAGGACGATAACAGTGAGAAGTCCGCACAAGGCGATGTGGAGGAAAACCAAGAGGGACGAAAAGTTTGGGAGGACAGGAGAACGGACAGCCCACCCTGCAGCTCGCAACAAGAGGCGCCGAAGCCAAACCGGGATGGACAAGAATCCCAAAGACGCCCATTGGACACTCCAAGTGCTGGGAAACCCAGAGGGCCGGAGGGATTGGAGGGCCGGGCGCTGAAGGACTTCTCCATAGAGTCCTTACTTCAAGAGGGGCTGTATCCGAAAGTGCCAGGCTTGGAAAGAGGAGCTGGATTCTCACCCCTTCTCCCAGGCTTTTATCCTCCAATGTGGGCTGCAGAATTCCCAGGCTACCCTCAGATTCTGGATCCCCGACACCGTTTCCCCGCTGCGTCGCTGGAAAACAGCCCTCTGGACCTCGCAGTCAAGAAAGAAGTCATCAAAGAAGAGTTAAAGGATGAACCCACGAACCCTATCCTTCACAGAGACTTCCTCAAAGACTTTATGAGTCCAGGTTTGGGTATAACCTCCTCGGACCCCGCTCTCGGCCCGATCAAGGAGGGATCGGACTTGCGGTCCTACCTGAGTTTCCTTTCCGCCTCTCATCTCGGGACACTGTTTCCTCCGTGGCAGCTGGAGGAGGAGAGGAAGATGAAGCCCAAAGCGTCACAGCAGTGTCCGATCTGCAACAAGGTGATTCAAGGAGCGGGAAAGCTGCCGAGGCACATGCGAACACACACGGGGGAGAAGCCCTACATGTGCACCATCTGCGAGGTCCGCTTCACCAGGTGAGTCGGGTTAAGGGGACACTTAGACGAGAGCCGCAAACTTCAGAAAAGAGAGTAAATGAGAGAAGATAAAGGAAGGGATACTAGTAAAGTACACTTTCCTGTAGTTCCTTCTTTATACTTTGTATTTTTTCGACACACTTCTAATTTTTACAATTATTACTAAACATTTAATTTTATTTGTATTATTTATAATTGTATTTTATTTTATTTCATTTATTATTAAATTACTCTTTTAAAAATACTTTTGACACTTAATAGTGAAAGTTGATGGGTATAATGGTGATATTTTATATACACTTCTAAGTATTACAATTGTTATTTACCATTTAATTTTAATATTTTTATCTACCATTTATATTTTATTTTAAATATTATTAAATTACAATTAAAAAACTTGCCAGTTTTATTTATATTGGTAGTTGATGGGAATTATGGTGGGTGGTGTATTTTATTTATTTTTTTATACGTTTCCAAGTATTATAATTATTATTTACCATTTTAACTTATTTTTATTTTAGAATTTTTTATATTTAGAATTCTATTTAATTCTATTTTTTTTTTTTTTTTTATTATTACTATTATTATCATTTTTTGCCTTTATTTATAGTGATTGTTGATGGGAATGATAGGAGTAAACGGCGGCAATGTGAATGTGCAACAACACCATTAAAGTGATAGTTCACCCACAAATTTAACTAAAAACTTGCCATTCACTCGCCCTCATGTCGTTCCAAACCGGTATGACTTTCCTTCATCTGAAAACGTTCAAAACCTCATGAGCATGAAAAAGTTGGGTGAACTATCCCTTTAACATTTCAGGACTGTTTTTAACATCATTCAATTAGATATAGTGCAAGAATAACTCTTTTAAAGTGAACATTCACTAAAAAGAAACAGACAAATTGAAAAAGGCAAAGAATGTTTTACAATGACAGATGATTTACGAGAAATAATTCTGACTTGCTGTCCCTCAAACAATCTTTTTCCCTCAAAACAATTACACTTGACTGTCTACAAGAATAAATAGCCTCTTTGAAGCTGAACAGCTAAGCTTCGGTATTACAACAATGAAATGGCACATGAAAACTAGAGCAGCATCATAAGGATAAACCTGCTGCTGTGAAACACTTTATGCATCACTGTGGTCGAAGCCCGCACGAGGTTTCCACACTGTAATAAAAGCCAAAGCGTGGTGATGTTAATGTACATTTCACTTTTGGACTCAAACGCTCTGTAAAGGAATGAAATTTCTCTGAGTGAGATCTAGAGTGAGAAATAGATCAAACAAAGTTTTTTTAGCTTCTGGATAACTCATCTGGATACCACATAACAGGAGCACTAAATCCTGAGTGTTTCGGTTTTCATGTTTTTAGGTTCTTCTGTGGCTGCTACTGTTGAGCAACTTGCAGCTGTATGCTTTTCAAGTATGAAGGCGTACACCTGTTTGTGTGTTTTCCTGCATGCATATTCAATCGAAGGCGCGTGAGAAAGAGTGTTTACAGTGTAAAGGTGATGATACACGGGGCAATTCTTTTGAGCAATGTTGCCGGGCACTTTCCCATTGAAAATGGGAAACACATTTCTATCTGGATACTTTAGATCGGTCGTGGGCCCCGTGTCTCACATGGTTACCCGTTGACGGCAACATTGCTCAAAAAGTTGCCCTGTGTAGTGTGTATCATCATCTTAAGATTAAAAAATAGATAAAAATCCCCACGGGTCCTCAAAAAGTAAAAAAAAATTCAGATGTATGTTATAAAACTTCTTAAATGGAATAACAAACATCCTTTTAAAATTTTTTTTAAAAGGTCTTACATTTGGGGAGGGACAAAACAGGAATCACAGCCTAATGTGATTTTTAAAATGCAAAAGGTGATGATTGAATTAAATAAATAGATTGCTTGTGATTTACTGTTGATGAATTATGACAATGTTTACCGGTACTTTATGGTGTTTATATTGTAATATGTTTCAGATGAGCATATTTTATCGCCAGCGATAGTAACGCATAGACATTTCAAGATGAGTTCTGGCGTATTTCGGGCTTCTTTATAAAATGAAAACTCACACATTATGTATAATTGATTTTAGAGTTCATTATTGATATTCTGGTCACAGAATTTAACGTAAACGCTTCTGTCTGAGTCACAGAAATGAAAGATTAACTCTTTCCCCTCTAGAGGTTTGTTTTTAAAAGTTGCCAGCCACCGCCAGCATTTTTGATAATTTTCACAAAACTTTCATGGCCCCCAGAATATTTGTAACAATATATCAAAAGAAAGAACATAGACTCTGCTTTTAAACAACAACAAAAACGTGCATTCTTTTTTTTTATCAACTCTTGAATGTGGGTAAATTTCATAAAAAAGCAACATCTTGAACAAAAAGCTACAAAAAATCGTGTGTTTTAATCTCTCAAAGACTACAACGTGCATAAGCAATGCTTTTATCACTTGTTTCTGCTGCTTTTCGCCTGCGATTTGATCAGGGGATTCGGCACTCTTTCAGAAGATGTGTAATAGCACCCCTCGGCCGTATAACAGTGAAAACACGGAAAGCTGGAAAATTCTGTCAATGGCGGGGAAAGAGTTGAGAGCATTATTTATCACATATTAACCAATATATAGACTTTTGTAGTATCTGAACAATAATTATCATTAAATAAATAAAAACAGTTTGAAACAGAAATATTTAAAAAACTAGTGTACTTTTTTTTATTTTAATAACTTAGGCTACATATCCAGGGAACTACACTGCGACCAAAATGGTCGCATGTGCGACCTTTTGAAATGCCATTGCGACCCTAATTTTGAATGGGTCGCAAATGTATCACCGTTTGATTATTTTTGTACCTACCTAATGTTTTAGGCAATATGCTATGATTTACTATGAGCATTTATTAAAAACAGAAATGTGTATTTTAAGAATACGTTTTATAACGCGCTCTGAGCATTCAACACATCAAGTTGGCTTCGCGGATTCGCGCTTGTTTAACTGAGAGAACGAGCAGAGAGAGTGAAAGCCCCAGTCGCGCGCGCGCTCTCTCTCCCTCCCTCGCTCATAATAATGAATTGAGTTGACTGAATATCTTTGAGAATACACGATGGTAAAAGGTCGGAAGACCGAAGTTTTTTTTTTTCTGAACTACCACTGGTTATGAATTGTGCTAAAATAACGTTGCCTCATCTTCTCTGAAAAGCTTTCCACACATTCAGATGGCATAAACCACTCTTTCAATAAACAAAACAAAAAATCTATCTGGTGATGAAATGTTCTCTTACGAGAGGTTCTCTCGTATTGCGTAAGCTAGCTTACGCTGCGGGAAAGATTCATCTTTGCTGAGATATTGAAGCCAAAAAATTATTTCATAATTTTGTATCCATACACAACGCAGTTCCTCTGCGGCAGACCTAGAGCGGGCTAGCTAGCAGCTCATTGGTTCGCTCAGAGAGAACTGCTTAAGCCTATGGGAGAGCAGGGCTGAACCCGCTTCCAATGAGAGGCGCCCGCGCGCTCATTGCGTCATGACCCGCCAGAATGGGCGTGGCCATGGTGTATATAAGGCGCTCTCCCAGGCTTATATGTTGATTCATTTCATCTTCAGCAAGCTGCACGCTTCTGCTGTTCCTGAGAAAAGCCATCGCCGTCGAAGAAGGCATCCTCTAGCGAGCTCAAGGACCCTGAAGAAGCCGGCCGTCTTCGCCACCTTCAGCCGCCCAGCAAGCTAGGCCATCCGACGATTGTATCCTTTCTCTATTTCTAAAAGAGCCGAGCGTCTTTTTAAAGATGTCTCGTTTTTCCTGCGGCTCTTGCCGCGCTCGTCTCGAGGACGGAGACCGCCATGTCATCTGCGCTCTCTGCTTGGGACTCGAGCATGCAGAACTCGCCCTCGCTGATGGAGGATGCGACCTCTGTGAAAGCCTGCCGTTATCGTCCCTGCGGGCACGACTTCTGGCAGTGAAAACCGCTCCCGCGCCGCCTATTCTCTCGCCGCGTAAAAAGAAACGCCGCTCTCAAAGGCCGCCGGAGCCCCCAGCGGAAACATGCGGGCCGCCGCCGCCGCCTCCCGCTTCCCGCTCTCCCTCCCCGCCCCTGCCGGACATTCAGTTGCCGCCGAGTGGCCGCTCTGTTGTTTCCGATGACGCCGCGGAGGAGAAGGACTCCTGTTCACTGCTCGCTTCTGACAGTGAAGACTGGTCATCTCTCGGATCCGCGAGAGAGTCGACGGGGACCCGCGCCGGGATAGAAGAGGAGCTGATGCGCCTCCTCTCACAGGCCGTCGAACGCCTCGGTCTCGAGTGGTCTCCTCCACCCGAGCAGGCCCCGAACCGAATGGACGGTAGCTTTTTTCATCGGCGCTCGACCCCCGCGTGCACCCGGGCCGCTCCATTCCTGCCTGAACTTCACGCAGAGCTGACAAAATCCTGGAATGCACCGCTCTCGGCTAGAAATCGCTCCGATGTATCCGCCTCGCTGCGCTCGGTGGACGGAGCCGCCGAGAAAGGCTATGCAGCCATGCCGCCCGTCGAGGACTTGGTCGCCACACACCTCTGCCCGCCCTCCGCTAGATGGCGTTCTTCACCCACGCTTCCTTCGAAGGCTTGCAGAGCGACCTCGAGCTTTCATGCTCGCGCTTACGCCGCCGCCGGTCAGGCCGCCGCTGCGCTTCACTCTATGTCTGTCCTCCAAGTGTTACAGAGCGATATTCTCCGTGAATGGGCCGAAGGCGGTAGAAAACCCCCCCCCGCCGTCACGGATTTGAGAAGTGCTACGGATCTCGCCCTTCGCGCCACTAAAGCCGCCGCACAAGCTCTGGGGAAATGCATGGCCAGCCTTTGTGTTGCTGAGAGACACTTATGGCTCACGCTCGCCGACATGGGAGATTCTGAGCGCGCCGCGTTTCTCAACGCGCCCCTCTCCCCGACGGGCCTGTTTGGATCTGCCGTCACGGGAATTGTCGATCGCTTTTCTGAAGTACAGAAAGCTTCTCAGGCGAT